GGGCACCCTGGGAGCTGTAGTTCGTTAACGGCCGCGGCGGCAGCGGCCGTTGGGCCGCGCTGCGGATAACGGCTGCGTCAACATCCACRGGTCCCGCTCTGCACGCGTGGTGCTATTGCTGTTGCTTCTGGCACTGCTTATTAAGATGTTCTCAGGAACAATCATGTAAAAGGCACCATCTTCCTGTTTTGACTGTGCATGGTGCTCTTCCGTCATGCTTTATTGGAAAATTGTGTTGTTTCTTGGACCCAAAGCAATGTTGTCCTAATACCAGGAAATTCCCTGTTGGAATCATGTGACATAGTAGTCATTAGTCACACATGTCAAGAAAGAGTCAGAAGTAATTCTGACTCTTAATCCAAATCAATCCAAAGCGGTAAACTTGTTGCGTAGATCAGCTGAACTGAAGTCTTTGGCTTGAAGCCAAAATGATCTGTTATTTCTTTAAATACTAAAATAATGTTCAAAGGGAGTCTCTTAGTTTGAAGAAACACTGTGAAGATGGGACAAAAATGTAAATTCATGAGAGAAGACAGAGTCTTTGCAGCTGTGTGGAAAGGGTAGCATCGAGAGCAGAAGAAGGCAGGAAGCTGGCCTGCAGCTTTCGGAAAGGAAAAGAGTTAACTAGGAAGAATATAGACGCATAGCCCTGGCATACAGGAACACATTCTGCTTTGTTTACCTTTATATCCCTTCCAAGTATATGCACAGTTCAAGTGTATTTCAGGGTTGAATTCCTTCCTTAGCTCTCACTTAGGGCTGCTTCTAGTTATGATCATTCTTCCTTATGGAGTTYTGCAAAGCTTCAACCCCATCTTTCCTGTCCTTGTTGACACGGTTACCTAACCTATGCATCCTTCACATGGCACTTCCCAGCTCCAGAGGAAACTCTTGATTAAGGGTTGTCACCCTCACTATAACCTCCCCGAAACCTACCAGTTGTCCCATGAGGGATTCTCACTCCAATTTCGCAAACCACACCTGCCTCTCTATTTTCTTAGATGTCATCTCCCTTAGAGGGCATGTTCTGTTTATGTTATTGACATACCTTTCCCTTCAGTGCACTTGCAACATCCCCTGAAACTTGAAAACACCACATCACTAATGTGATGTAGTCACATCTAGTGTGGATGTGATGGGATTACGCTCATCTATGGCACAGTGCTGGAATTAGCAGGTAGGAGTGATTTGGGCCAAGAGTCAAGGGATTAAATCCTGCTCTTCAAAAAAAAGTTTCAGATGCTGGTTTCAAAAGACTGGTGCAGAAGATCAAACACACCCAGTTGTGTGGAATGGCTGTTATTTGTTTGTAAAATTATATGAGTATTCTCACACAATTTCTCAGCATGAGGATGGTCTCTGCTGGTGAGGAGTGCGGTTTGGAAAAGGCTAGAAACTGCTATGCTTTGTGGGTTGGTCCCTTAGGGCTGTTCAGTTAGATATATGCTATGAATTTCCCTCCATCCTTTTCTTTCATCTCTCCATGATAGACTTGGTTTTGCATTCATTAAAACAAACAAACAAACAAACAAACAAACAAACACTTTCCGATTGCTACAGGTTTAAGTTTGGATAGATTCCAGCCCAGAGAAGAGTTAAATTGAAAATAACCACAGCAGAAACTTTTTAATTTTATGTTTTCTGTTTYATTTCCCAACTTCCATATTAAGAAGTCATATACTTATAAAGCAACTCTGCTCAGTCCAAATCCTCTTAGGAGCAAACAAAGCTATTTATTTTTATAGCTTGGAATTAATCTGCCTTTTATATACTAGGGCACAAACACATGAGTATTTCAAGCTTTTCAGAGGTACTTATTTTCTCTGCTCGACAGAAGTCAGTGAATTTAGTCCCAAAGTGAAGATTGTATAAAGGACTCAAGCTGCATAAATCGAGCAAATATTAAGYAGAATTATTGAGTAAAGAAGTGATTAAATCCAAGAAGCATTCAGAAAGCATCACTATTTGATGAAAAGTGGATGTTCAAGAACTCTGGCAAAAAGAAGGTAGAAAAAACACCCTGCCTGCACATCAGCATAAAGGGAAATAATAACTATCTTATTGCTGAAGTAATCAGTCTCTATTTTCAGACTGTGATTGGTTGTGAGAGCCCAAGAGACTGACTTTTCTGAGCTCATGTGTGCACAACCTTAGCTACAATCAGTAAAYGTTGCAGATTCAAAGCTCTTCTGAAACAGGGTCCTAAATGGCCCAGGGAGTCTGAGGAAAATTAAAATCCTTAGCTCCAGCTAGTCTTTCACTACAAAACCACACTTCATCCCTCTCTTGATTCAAGAGATCTTGGAAGCACATATATATTCATAATAGCTAATCACATTGCACTGTTCTTGAACAGTACTTGTTCTAACAGACACGCTCTTAAAATGAAGGGTAGCTTTGTGGCTTAATCATAAATCTGAGATTTTATGCTATTTTTAGCCCTGACTCACATCATTAAATGTAGAAAAGTCATTTTATGTCCTCTGAGCTTCCTACTGGAGCTAGAAATGTCATCCTTTTAAAACACTTGCGCTACTACACAGGAGTTTCACAAGATTAAAGACATGATGTTTGAAGGYACTTTGAAAACACTCTTTTTTTGAGAAAAGGTGTCGACCATTATTTTTACGCAGTATTTTACATCAYTTCCCCATCTCATGGAGTTTGAGCTCAGTGGTGTTGAGCATTGTCATTCACTGTATTTTATGCAATAACTGCCTCAATGCAGCATTAGAGAGGTGCAGAAAAGTTCCAGGGCTGTAATTTCACAAGATGAGGCTGCCTCCAAAATTCCCAGCTTGGTGAACAGAAGTTCAAAGCTGTGATTATCTTTTCATCAAAGACTCTTTTAATAGCAGCCACCACCACCTTTTAGTGTTACACCTGAAAAAGAATCATCCATTCCTGAAAGGCAGCTAAATATAAGGGGAGAAAAAAGTAGCTCATATTACTTTTATAACGAAGAAATAATACATACCCTAAYACATTCTTAAAGGATCTTTACGTCTAAAAACATCCTATAAAAAACTGTGCAGGCAATTTAAAAGTTTTTAATGAAATTCAGTAAAAATAAATAGATGAAATTCTCTCTCCAGAAGTTACACTTCTAAGTGTTTTGCTTTCACCCAGCCTACTCAGGAACAATTGAATAAAAAGAAGAAAGCATCATTTGATTAATTTCTGAACAATTTCACAGATCAATATTGCTTTAAAGCAACTCAGAAACGAATKAATGTAAGATGTTCATCTCTGAATGTTCAGAAGTCAGAATGATTTCTTTAAAGGATTTCTCTCTACCTCTATGGTTGTTTCTGTTTGCCATTAAAACAACTGGAGGTAATTCATTAGAACAGCAATACAAGGATTAAGAGGAAGAGGAGGGCAGAAGCGCCCTCAGTCTAAACCAGATCAAATAGGGGTCTAGTCTGTAGGACTTAAATGTTGCTGATCCAAAGGATTCTGAACTTTACAAGTGAATTTGGGTGCATTACTAAAATRTGTAATAAACAGAAATCAACTATGAAGCAGAAGTAGTATCACAGAGCAGATATCCTCTACAAGTGCTGGGAGTTTATGTATTGTTTAAGGCCATGAGCAAACACAGCCATAAATAAAAGTCTGATCAGGCACTCAAGCTGCCACAGTTGTACTAAACTTCTACTCTGGTGATAATCAGTTGTAGTTTCTTTGGAATGTATTTTAAATACTATTCTTGAATTTTGTTTGCCTTCTGCTACAATTGGAAATGACAGGTGGAGGATATCGAAAGTCACATTTGGACTTGATGCTGTATTGCTGAACTCCCAACTAGAAAACACGTGTTTTTGACATTTGTGGGATAAGGAAGTCCAATCATTGATGAGGTAGTTTGCTACATCTCAGAGAGTCTTCTGAATTTACTCTTTAGTGCCTAATCATCATATTCAGGTATAATATTAATTTTCAGGCATACTATTCATTTTCTTTTTGGCAAAATGAATAACAGATTTTTCAAATTTAATTGGAAAGGAAAGTTATCAGAATGTTATCCTGTTGTCTATGTAAAAATACATAGACAACAGGAGAGGATAATGCACAAATTGACACTGCACATTTATGGCATGGTACTTTTTGCAAATTCAATTATGCCACTTAATTGACAAAAGACTAAGGAAACTTATGCCACTAGTTTTACATGGGAAGTAAAATAATGTGATAAAAGGTGAGATTTGCTAGGATGGATGATCCTCTGATAGAATGATTTATTACTTTTGACAATCTAAATTGCTGGTCTAATTGTATTAAGACCTAAGAGGCTATCAACCACATTTTAAAACCACATCTTATAAACCACAAGCTATCTTTTTTCTCTGTAGAAGTATTTTCTACTTGCAGTATGCAAAGAATAACAAAACACTAAGTGGGACTGCAGCTGAGCTTTTGATAGATCATTTCCTTACCTTATCCACTTAAAAAAAAAAAAAAAAAAAAAAAAAAAAAAAAAAAAAAAGGAGTAGTTGTAACCTAGCTACAAAACAAAAGCAAAGGAGCAAGCTTCCAGCTAATTTCCATTGAAATTGGAATAAATAAATAAAATGCATACACCTGTGAAACAACGGAAGGTATTTAAATGTGCTGATTATGCAACTCCAATGAACAGTAATTTTATGCTATTATTATAATAGCTCTTAATCCTTACACTTTGGCATTATATTATAGAGGAAAAAACAAACAGAAGAAAGGAAAGATCCTGAGAAGGAGATGATTTGAAAATAGGCGTGTTTGTCAGCTGCATTTTTAACTGAGGAGAGGATGAGCTGAAGGAGGTGTACTCACTATTACAGGAAGGCTGCAATGTCCTAAACTTGATTTTCCTTTATGGCTTAGGTGTGCACCCAAAGAGCCAGATAGCCTATCGATTATATTGCGCCTTTCTTCCTTCTGACAAATCCAGCTACTGGTATTTTAGGGCACATGCTTCCTCTGACAGATAACCAACTATTATTTCTTAATTCATATTTTTCCAAAAGCCTTAGTCGTGAGCAGGCATTCTGCCAGGTATGAAGAAGAAAATTACCGCACAAAGGAAAGAGGATAGATTTAACACAGCCCAAGATTTTAGCTCCAGTAGGCCAAGTGCAATGCACCCTTCGGCCCAGGGTGCAGCAGAGACTTTCAACTGAGCAATCTCTACTCCAGCACAGCAGTGGTCGTGACAAAACACCTTGTCCCCATCTTACACTCTGTGCTATCTTCACAGATTATCCACGGAGGAAAGGCTGAACTGCATCACAGCAGTAATTTTAGCAGTACTGACTAAAGGGCTCTCTATCAGGGCAAATAATGGCACACTCTCCCGCTCTGCTGAAAGCTGCCCTGCTGTGCCTGGGGGAGAAACTTTGGGAAAGTCAGTACAATCGCYTTTGCCAAGTGGAATTCCACAGCTGAGTGCCAGAGATTCAATTCAAGGGAAGTACAGGCAAATTTATGGCGATTCTCATACTGCAAAATGCTGCAGTCCGGGAAAGGACTTGGAGAAAGTTCTTGACCAGTTCTTATTTTATTTGCATTTTCAAAGAGCGCAAAATGTGCCTCTTTTGCCACTGACAGAGCCAAGATATCAGGCTAAATGGACATGTGATACTACTCACTATGCCCATGTTCAGGTTCTTAATATACTTAGCTCACTGCTGRTTTGTTTATTTAAAGGAAAAGGGTACAGAAAATTCCCAGCCTTCTCCACACGCCTGTCATCATCATTAGTACTAGCCAGATCAGGCTGCAGGGATTAATTGCCATTAATTAATTGAGTCTACTCAAGGAATATCTCAGAGAGTGTCAGAGAGCCGGAGAAAACAGGAAGACAGGAAAGTGTTTCTGAGTTTTTGAAGGTTCACTTTTGACTCTGGCTAATTTGTGCATTGGACAGAACTTGTAATTCATTCAGGTGACAGGATTTATACCATAACAGGCATGATGGAGTCTTCCATCCTATATGGCACTCGAAATTTTGATACAGACATAAGGTGCCTGTAAGGAGTCCTGTCCACAAGGACTCCTTTCTATCTCACTGGGCACTAATGGTGCATGAAATCAGATGTCTTGGATATAAAGGGTCTG